CCAGACGGACGAGTTTTGTGCTGCGGGCGCAGATGACGAGTGTCTCCTCCGCTCACAAGCGGTCAGGGGTCATACTTTCAAACTCGTTAAGTGGACGTAAGTACTTACGCTCTATTTTCTTGTCTATGATTGGTGGATTTTGCTTAAAAGGCCGTCTATGATTGGCTGATGAACTTACGATCTCTTAACTTTTTTGAAAGTATGGGCGCAGGGCCTATACTTTCAAAAAAGTTAAGAGATCGTAAGTCCATCCGCCAATCATTGACGGCCTTTCAAGCAAAATCCACCAATCATAGACATGAAAATAGAGCGTAAGTACTTACGTTCACTTAGCGAATTTTGAAAGTATGACCCCAAGTCCACGTATTTACGGGAAAAATAATCCTCATGAACCCATCTTCTTTGAATTCTTATGGCGTCCATTCCCGATGAAAATTTGCTTCAGTATGCGCTTCAATTAATATACTTTTATTAATATACTTTTATTAATATACTTGTATTAATATACTTTTGCGATGAATATTTAATTTAGTCATTACCCGGAATTGAATCAAATTCTTCGTCATTAAAGTGGCCCACGACATAATATTTTTAGACAAATTGCAGCGTAGTAATTTAATTGAGCCTTTCGTTATACGCGTAAATGTTTTGTCAATTTTTTATTTTTCATAATTATTATTGTTATGCCATTCTAACGCAAAAAACATCCTCTCTGTCACAGACTTTGCTAGACAAACCATACTTATTCTAATCTATTACATGAACATCTTACCTTGTCCGCAGCCCATCAAGTGACCCGCAAAACTTGCGTAAATTAATCTCAATTATTTGTTGAAGTTGGGCCAATTTATGGCTGGAGTTGAGACGCAAAAGTTGTCACTGATCCAGTGTAAACATCGGCGTCAGCTACTTGCATTTTCTAGTTCGGCCTCAATATTTTCGGTGTTAATTAATATAGGGGCAAGACTTGCCATGGCAGCAGTGTGCTAGCCAGCCATGAATGATTCAGAAAAATCTAATTTAACTTATTTGCCCATATTTGACAATTTATTGACATACGTGTGCTCGGATTATATATATTAGGAGTGACAATAATTTATGGTAACAAGCGATATGAAATTTGAACGAATAAACTGCCTTAAATCTCCAAATAGGTATAATATATGTGCACCCAATTTATTCCTATTGGTGATAACTGTTCTCTATATCAGAGATTTAAGACTTTGAAAGAGAGCCTTTAGGCCGAATTTTTTAGTCCTACTATTATAAGAACTACTGTAGTAGGTTCAGAGCGTTAGTTAAATAATGCGCCAATTCTGTCACTATATAATTGTTCAGTAGTATCAATTGAATGGAAAGCTACTGATGTTCGGTCGGAACTGTATAAAGGATGCAAAAGTAAAAGAATTGGAGTAAACTATTTAGGCTTTATTTTGTCGGAGAAGAACGAATTGTGGCAAGGGCACATATACGTATGGCGTCTCGATTAGGATTCTTTCTCATCATGCATCTCATGTTAATTCTTCGCCGATACTCCACCTAAGTAAATCCTCATAAAATCAATATGACATGACTAGCAATCAGTGCTTGCCTAAGCAATTTTAGGACCGTTCACAATCTTTTGTATTTGATTTCTTTTACATGGAAAAATAACGTTTTGATAAGTTGAAATTTTATTTCTCATTCCTCAAAAATTACAGGAAATATCATCAAATGGTACCATTCATCGTTTTTCTCCGTGAGTGCAACTTCATGGTAAGATTGCTGACGTTTACTCCTCAAAAACTTCGGACCCTGACAATGAATTATGTAGGGATGAATAGATAAAATGTTTCATTTAAAACGAATTTCTTTAATTTACAACCGAAAGTTCTAAGCGGCGAGTGTTAATAATAATATTTGGCAGCGAGTCAGGACAATGATTCATGTTGATGAGCTCGTCTTTACTGGAATATAGGAATAAGTTAGTGAAGCGATATCTACCAGAGAGATGCAAGGTCTTAGGTATTAATGCAAATGTCCACGCACTAACAGTCAGCGCTAAAGCTCATGTACTCTTATGAAGGAAAAAGGTGTCAATTAGACTAACTTTACATCATCGCAAGTGAATATGTGTTAACACATTTACACATTAATATTTTCATTATTCAAATCGAATTATTCGTGACAGTATCGTTTGTCACTTTCGCACAGTATTTTTAAATAAGAGAGTATTGAAATCGAATGCGTGGATAAATTAAATTTAAATCAATCAGTATTTCATGAAATTAATGTTGAACAAAGCAGGCAATTTAGGCACAATTATTTATATCTTATTATACAGTGCATACACTTACGGCTACAAGTAATTTGTTCACAGTAACTTCTGCAACACTTGAAAGGGGCCATCGTCGATCAAAAGTATAATAAAAAGGTAGTTTCCACGTGACATAATTTGTTAGCAGGGGAACAGCAATGAGAGTTAGCAAAGGAAATACAATGCATCGATGCACCAATGCTTCAAAGCAAGACGTAGAAGAGATCAACATTTTTGTGGCTGCTTGAATATTGCTGGAAATATCATCTTATTCATCCGCGTTGTTTTGTAATCAACCCACTCGATCTTCCTCTTTATATATAGAAGTTAAGCCTAGTCCTGGATTGTATTTTATTATGCAAATTCGTTTCGTTTTAATAATTGATTTTGGAAAATAAGTACTAATGCATGTTAATATTAAGGAAGCATTTAATGAGTAAAATTCACATTCGATCGACGTTATTTGAAATGCATAGCAAAAGTAATCCAAGTAAACAAGAAATAAATCTGTTGATTGCACCATTTGCCTCAACATCAAATTATTGCTTAGTGTAAAGAATTTGCTATGACAAAATAGCGGTTATCCCGACTTTACAACTAGATTGCGGACCGAAGTTGACTAGGAACAGAATATTATAGCTAGTAGGGTTATTGACTTCAAGCTGAAAGACGAACGTCTCTGCTGTGTACCTTATTGGTACTAGATAAATGCTGTTGTAATAAACTATATTACGGAAGGGAGTGATGTGTACCCTATGGAGTGAAGAAAGCTGACTTGGAGAATATTGAACATATTATTACATGTATTTATAAATTAGAAGAAACACTCAGTGAAAACCAACACATTCAACATCGATTCAGTGCGTATATCATTAAAGGTAGAACTGATTCGAGATCTGCGGCATATTGGATATACAATTTCATTTGATTTGATACAAACGAAGCCAATGTTGCAAAACCCTATTCTTAAGCCAGTGAAACAATATTTCTAAATGCTGAAGTTTGAAAGCCGTCAATCCTGTTAGTAATATTACAACCGAGAAACACGAAAGACTACAGTTCGGCTTCGAGTTACATAATGTAGTTATTTGATTGAGCCATAGTGCATTTATAGCATTTATAGTATTTATAGTGATTTGATGGACTTGAGTTTCAGGTTGCCAAGGTAGAGGGACCAAAGGAAAGACTTATGCCAAAACCATCAAGAAGTCTGAAAACTTATCTGCAAAAGCAGACCAGTTCATCACAGATACACAGACACTTCTAGAAAATATTTGAACATATCTGGTTCATATCATTGACACTGTTATCCACCTTTCTTATCGAAGATATGTTCAATATGTCTGTATAGTGTATGGTTTCAGGAAGTGATCTATAAGTGAATATTTTCGGTCCATCAAATGATGTCCTAACTAGATACTGGAGATATTGTTGACATTTTTTAGCATCCAGCAAAAATGTCGCTTGTGTCATTGTCATCAGTATTGTCCTCATCAATGTGATCATTGCTAAGTTATTTTTGGTGTCAAGTTCTATTTCTCTCCTTCCTTCTATTTCTCTCTTTTAAATTCTCGAGCATTATCTAGTTTCGCTACATGATAGCAATTGAGAAAAATCTCGGGACTTATTTGATTAAGCTGTAAATCTTATAATGGGAATTTGTTATTCTTGACAAATTTGTAGTTGCCAATAAAGTTTAATCCGCGATTGTTCTTGCCATATGTTAGAGTTTTAGAAGGAACCTATAGTATGCTGCTTGCGTAAGCTGAAAGTAGACACTCACGTGCTTCTATAGGCCGAATTCTGCCAATCAAATTATAACAGTTCAGTCATCCTAGTCATTTGTACTCTTGACTTCTCATGATCTGCAGCGAAAATTTCAAAACATTGACCATTACGTGGTCAAATGGTACTTGATTGCTGATGTGGTAATTACAGTCGGTGATTACTAAGCTGATAGGTTCCTAGTTCCCCTCGCGATAGCCAATATTTACCTGGGTAATTTATTTCCGTAACGCTGGAATGATGCTTCATGGTATTTTTTATTGTGTTCTTTTGAGAACAAACAACGAACGAATCTCGATTGAACCCTTTTGTTAGATTGAAACGAAGGCCATATAGTTTCTTGCTTCGAATAAATTAAATTTGGGTGTTCGGAAATCCAAAATTGTTCAGGAACTGAAAAGAACGAACGTGACAAGCAAATTGACAATAATTTCATTGAGAACATGGATGGGTAATTAAAAATAGTGAATATAGTTTGTGCTGAAAATATGATGACTTTACTTCCTTTACATTTTTTATCCTTTACATTTTATTGGATTTACATTTATGCTTAATTTTTGCTTTTAGCAAGAACTCATTTAATTTCGTATACGATTTACAATTGTTTCGAGGAGGATTAATCAGGCTTACATTATAGATTTGCATGATTTTTTTAAAAGTCAAATGGTACAATTGCAAAACTATCATACGACCAAGGAATGAGACATGCATCCATGCATCACCATTATTCACGGTATAATAAAGAAATACAATAAATAATGTATATTTCAAACACAAGCTAGGGACACTGAGGTGTAAATCAGATTTTACTTCAATGGCGGGCTAAATAGATTAGTCGTTGCAAATTTTTACTGACGAATTTGTTTGACCTACAGTTTAATTTTTCATTAAGCAATTTTGAAATTAATCAACATGAAGTTTTCTGACAAATTTTAGTAAAATTTTTATTGGAAAATTGAAATGCGTCTAAATCGTTTGGCAAAATTGAGGGCGCCATACAGGCGTGACGGGCATGCGTGTGACCACAATTTGTATATTAATTTTTTAATATACAAGTTTTTATTTTTTTTATATATAAGTGATAATTGAAATCATCCGCACGGCCTGGTACGTCCATAGACAATTCGACGGAAATGACTGAAAAATGTGGCGTACGAGTGACAACCGAAGAATTCAAAATCGTAATGAGAAATTTTCGAAACGCTTATAACGGCCACAAAGAGGTATTTATTCGAAAACAGGTGGTTTTGTAAGCGGAAATATCCGTACGTTTGGAGTCACAGATACTTATGCTTACATCATTCACGTTTCAATAACGTTTCACATACAAAATAATGAAAGAATAAGTTATTAAACCTCTCCATGTTTCGGTAAGTTTACAGGCAGTTGCTCACGCAAACTCGCGTAGTGGAATGTCATTTTAGCTGCTAGCTATCAATCGGATTCCTTTTGTTGTTCCTATAAGTTTTCAAGCCTTGTCCCTTATGTATATCTATCTACATGATTAAACTCTTTATTTTCTTTACTGACAGAAGCAGGCATGGGACATCGTTACATTGAAAAGTAGCAAAATTAGTTAGTTCTTGGATTTTTGACAAACATGACCAAATGCTTACATTAATTACTGGCTTTTGTACATTCCGGCATTCGCGCTGGCTAGGTTAATCTGATTGTATAATTATAGTCTCATAAAAAGGAAATAGAGCATCACGGGACGTTCAAGTGAGACTTGTATTGTATTCACGTCTTTAATTATAGTATTGTATTCACGTCTTTAATTATAGTATTGTATTCGCGTCTTTAATTCTTGTATTGTATTCGCGTCTTTAATTCTTGTATTGTATTCGCGTCTTTAATTCTTGTATTGTATTCGCGTCTTTAATTCTTGTATTGTATTCGCGTCTTTAATTCTTGTATTGTATTCGCGTCTTTAATTCTTGTATTGTATTCGCGTCTTTAATTCTTGCATTGTATTCACGTCTTTAATTCTTGTATTGTATTCACGTCTTTAATTCTTATATTGTATTCACGATTGTGGCGACTCTTGGAGGTAGCCTGATCGTGCCCAAATTAAACGCCGACAGAGCGCTCTGGTTTTCTAACTTGGTTAACTTGCGAAAATATCCACAGTTGAATTAAAATGCAACTTTACTGCTTGATCTTTGTAATTTTACAGCGATATATACAATAGTTCTGACTTGAACTCATATATGTATTCATCGAGGACCTGCAAGAATGTCTTGAAAGTTATTATGTTTTCACTTTTTTTGAGAATCTTGGACGGGAGTTTCGTGAATGTATAATAGATAATTGAAAAATTTTACAATAATTCATGATCTGTTATTTGCTGGAAAAGAAGGTATAGAAACTAAGGAAGTTTAGTTGTATACACAGATTTCGCTATCAGACACGTGGCTCAAACATATGTAAGATAAGATGGCGAAAAATCTCAAGTCATTAATAATTCATAACTAAATTGGACATCATAACACAACTTACGATTACCATGAGCCACATAATAGTCATGCGTTTTGAGCATTCATATCAGAGTTTGCAATTAATACATGGAACTAAATTATGAAACAGACATTGGCATGCCAGCCATTAATTAAATATTAATGCTTTACCCAGGACCCGTATAAGAACTATGGCGTTCATAACTATGACCTTAAAGCTTCAAGATTCAATACCTGATGATTATTATGTACATAGAGTATGAAATTGAACGGTAATATAAAGTAGTTGATACAATATATACAAATTAAATAAATATTGTGCAAAATATTTATCCATTCTGGATCGTAATACATTTTCTCCATTCACTCATTTCCAGTTTACTTACATTTTTTAATTAAAATTTGTTATTAATTAATGGAGATTTACTGTGCCATAAAAACCTTCCGTAAAAAAAACTGTCCTAGTAATTATTAACTTTATCTTAGCATTTTGTTGCGAGTTTACATCCCCAAAATTTACATTCCTTTTAATTGTTTTCTTCCTCTTCTTGAAATACATTTAGTTTCATCTGTTTATGTTTATTTATTCGAAAATATGCGAGGGCTCACGTGGTTGCTTTCATCCGCAATGGGAGCCTAATGATCTCCTCAGGGCTTATCTGTGATGGTATTGCTGAGCGACGTTCGTCAGAAGCGCGGCAAAAACCAGCTGAAAGTTCAAAAAGTCTGAAAAAGTGAAATAAAAATATATTAATATTTGGTACTTGCGCAGACTAAAGAAATTTGTTTAATGATGATGAGGAGTGTAGGCTCTTCCGAAAGAATTAGTTCCGCTTTAATACAAAACCTAGGATGTCAATCAATATAATTTACAGAATTAGTGTTTATTTATAAGCTAAACTGAATCGTAAAATCAAAATTATCAAAACTGGTCAATACATTTTTGAATTAACAGTAGATTTATCTTATTTGGCAACTTATTTTATTTATTTTTTTCATTTTCTCGGCCTCCTCGGAAGGCCTCTTATTTTTTATATAATTACAAAGAAAAGCAAACAATAATAAATGCCGTGATAAGAGCGAGGCTTATGAGGACTCACAGCTCGTGAGGAGACGCCCTCCAGCAGCGACGCGCCCTTCGTGCCCCGAGGCTCGTGCCTGCCGGGCACGTGTGTGTAGGAGCACGTCGGTAGACTCGTGGTAGAGCCCAGGCACGTGAGACGTGCATCGTACCCTGTCGATCAGACGAGCCAAGATAACTCAGTGAGTGAACAAATAAATAAACCCTATGAATAAGAACAGTGAGTGATGAATCGTGAGTCGTGCATCGCACCCTGTCGTTTGCACGCGTCAAGACAACTCAGTGAGTGAACAAATAAATAAATCATCTGAATGAGAACAGTGAGTGATGAATTCATAATGAGTTTACACGACGTAAGTATGATGAGTTGAACGGTATGTGTCGTTGCGAGGTAAATGCGTGATAGCCTGGATTGCTAGAAGCAACTTGAAATACGCAGTCTCGCTGCATATTACAAAAACACAAAATATTCTATAATTTTACTGTGCAAAAATTAATTCGAAGCTTTCAATTACGTTAAGTTTGAAAATGTATGTGTAGTGATGCACTAAACATCTCCTAAAATTCAAAAAATGGAACTACGTCATTTATTATGGCAGGTGAGTGCGATTACAACGAATGATTAATATTGTTATTACTGAATGTTGTAATAATATAATAAATAATAAATGCATTATGGCATCAAATTAAAATGCTTCGAAACATAAAAATTAATTAACATAATAGAGACAACACTTTATTTTTGACGATACCTGACAGCACCATCAGCAGCGTCTTGGATGAGGCGCTCGCGCAAGTAGAAGCGCAGCCGCAGCGTCGTCGTGAAGAGACCGTCCGCGCCTGCGGATGTGGAGGGCGGCTCCAGCCAGCCTGCCCGCGGCTGTGTGAACAACCATCCCAATAAATTTTGAATTAGTGCAGGAACCTTTTAACTTTTCAGAATCGTTTATTTGTAGTGACTTATGCATACATGTCGTTATACTAGCAAATCTAGTGCAGTCAACTTTTCATGATCATCTATTTCTGTAGTGACTTATGCTTACGGTACATGTCGTTTGGGTAAAAATGTCCAGTTACGAAAATTTAATTTTTTTTTTAAATTTCGATCATGTGCTTCTCCATCCTCGTGACATTGACTTGATAACGAACATGCGTTCGCTGAACACCTCCAGCTGCTTAGCCTTGATTTAGATCATTATCACCAGCTTAACGCAGTTATAATTACACGGTTGCATAAATTAACACAAAACATCCGTAACTTTAGTTATTGTACCGCCCCAAACTTACGAGGACCCCATCTCGTTGCTGATTGATTCATTTATTCGGCTCTCTTTACTCTCAGGCAGCCTAATATTTGTTCAATTTAATTTATAAATTGATAACATTTTAGTATGATAAACTATCATAAAGAGTAATATTTACGACGATGCTGGGGGACTACCTCTTTCACTATCTCAAATGCTCATCAAAGGGTTTCAGTTTATATAAGAAACGGATTATTCACATTATATTTGATAAAACACGTATATACAATTACGTTGTGTCGTGTAGTAGTACTTTCCAGCTCGTAACTAAAACATGAATGACTAAAATTCCGAAAATATACAAAACCTAAATTGCGGAACTGAAAAGTCTAAATGAAAATGGAAAACTTGTTGCTAAAAATATGAATAAATTTATACTATTCCCTAACAATGACTCGCCTCCTTGCCGTTGATAGAGAAGTTGAGTGTCGGGGCTGGTCGGGTTTCGCTAGCGATGCATGTGAGCTGCACCCAGTCGTCAAGCGCGTACAGCTCCTGAACACCCCGCAGCTCAGGGCCTGACGTAGGCAGCGCTACAGGGCATACCAAAGTAAAGCGTCCGGCCGACTCAAACGTGGGTAACTCAAACGTAAGTCAAACTTTAACTAAAGGCAAACTTAAACTTATTGATGATTCAAATTCTATTGCAACCTCAACGCACAAAATAACTTAAAAGATACATAATTTAAAATCTCTATGAAACTAATACCCATTGCGAAGTGATATTTCCATTGCCTATAACTTAAGTCTGAAGCACAATCAATCTCAAATACCCAATCAATCTCAAATACCCAAATGCGCACCTAAGCTCAAATCATTAAGGAAATTCAAATACGCAAACTCAGGCGCTCAAGCAAATTCAAATGTGCAAACAAACGCAAACGTTCAAGCGAATTCATTCGGAAAAACAAACTCGAACATCTAAGAATTCTCGAACATATTTATTCAGCTCAAACTAAAAAAATGCAAATTCGAGGCGTGATGCGTGAAATGATTAACGTTATTGCAATGAACCATTAATAGCTAGAATTTTTATAGGTTCAAATCAACGCTAGCGTCAATAGTGAGGCCTGTTCATACGTAATCTTATCAATATCTTTGTATCTTTCAATGTTTTAATATCAAGGACCTAAATTAGTTTCAAGAGAGCACCTGCTTCCTTGTTGTAATAAGCATGTAACATTTGTATCATACAAATGCACTTTACTGCATCACATCATTATTTATTGCATCATAATATTATTATTTACTGCATCATAACATTATTATTGACATTAAATGAGCCACCTATTATCCGGACGTTAGCGACGCCGTAGTCCGTGTAGAACCTAGGCGCCTCTCCGGACACCTCGCACCTGAAGGCTCCGTCCGCCCCCACCGTCACGTTGGTCACGTGCACCTTGCCCCCCGACGACTTGTTCACCTGCGCCATAACATGGAGCTTGTGTCAGGGATGGTTGCATAAATTAACACAAAACATCCATCACTTATCTTATGTGTACACTGCTAAGTAATAAGTGATTCCCTGGAACTAAAATAAGATAAAATATATGTTCTGGGGTTTGTTAATAAATGTTGTTAATGTTATGAACTTCCTAGTGAGAAACGTTTCTAAAGATTTTTGTGGTGGAATTCAATAACGGTGATCAAGCATGTAGAATTGAGTGCCAGGAGGAGAGCTTCTTAATAGAAATAGAAGATTTATGTTGCACACGGAGCATATATTTGTTCAGCAAGGAATCTAAGATCGTTAAGGGCACCAGATAATGAGAACGCATTCAAAGTAGAACGTAGAAAATGAAAAACATACCACAATAAATGGAATTCCCGCATTTACTTTTGTATGATAATGCATGAACTGAAAACTGACTCACTGCTGGAGTCATGGGCTTTCGAAAATGTAGTCAAGTACTGGAACAATAAAAAAATAGTCAATAAAAACCTCCATCTACTTTAATTCCTATTTGAATTCTTATCACAAAATGCAAGTTTTCGCCCAACGCCAGTTGCCTCATAGCAAACAGGCGGAACTCGGTCCTCATCACCCAAAAAGGCAACACAAAGCCTCGACAGTTTCATTTGACCGATAAAGTGGGCGCAACGCATTGTTTACATGCGCCACAACTGCACTACATGCGGCGCGTGTGGCTGCAGTGGCGTAATTTAGACCCCGCCACAAGCCAACAACTCCTTTTTCTGTTCCCGCCGTGCAGCTCCAGTGCTGTTACGTTCTGGCAATGGCCCGGTGCCGAAGCGTTGCAACGAAAAGGGTTTGGCCCGCGTAACTCTAGCAGCAATTCGAACTTGCCGAACCAATTAAGGCCTCGAGGATGGCATCAAGATTTATCCCTCATTGGACCCCAAATTAAAGGGAAACTAAAGTGCTTTGTTTCTCAACCGGCTGGCTCTATGATCGCGCTCAAGATTGATAACAACCGGGTTCAATATTGTTGCAATTTGTAGCTCGATAACGCACCTGTATTTGAAACCAATTACTTCCAGAAATTCCATCAATTTAATCAAAATTTGTGTTTCAAGAATTTATTCTGCTTAGGCTTAGTCTTTATTACTGTGCGCACAAGACAGTTAAGTGGTTCGTTTCATGATAAAATGAGTCATTCCATAAATCAGTACAAATCGTTGAATCCCCTGCATCGTCGGTGCAATCAAGAAGTACCTCATGCAGTCAGAATATCCATGCAGCAAAACTGGGGTAAAGCCGAGACCACAATCACATTTGTACGTTTGCTGGGAAGAGCATCGATTTCTGGCGGCAGCGTCACCAAATCACGAGGATCTGCTTTAGTGAAGCGGGGGTAACCTTAAATGTGATTGCCGGGCCAGCATGAAGGGAGCCCTGCGATCACTGCGCGAGCTTTTGCTGCTGCGAGGCGGCACTGCGATGCGATGAAATTTGGGTCTCGTAGTTATTTAATGCGCATAATGCTTTATTTGCTCCGCATATAGATTACTCTATTTAATTACACCTGCTCTGAATATTTTCCTTGAAATGTATACTGCTAGCGTCATTTTTGTCTTGTATCTTGCAGTAGAAATGAGTGTAGTGAGTTGCGCAGAACTCTGAGATGACAAGAATTACAGTGCCGATAAAAGACGTGATAACCTGAAAGACTATTAAAGATTCTTAATCGAATTCTCTGAGCCTATATAGAGATAACATATATACGTATATTTCAACCACCACACTTGTTATCTCATCCACTAAACTTTATATTTCCGCCACCACACTTGTTTTCTCTAGTGAACTCTATTTTTCCGACACCGCACATTATATCTCCTCAACCATGATTCATCCTCCTGCCTAAATATATTTGACTGTCCGAATAATGTTTTGTTCCGATCCTATATCATCAATCTGACAGGACTTGTAGATGACGGATAAATGAAACGTAAAGAAACGAAAACAGATATGAAATAACAAACCAGTTTAATCAATTTTCCCAGCTCCTCAATGCGATTAAAAATTAATTCCACGTTCAAAATATACAACAAACTTCGTATTTGCTCGCCTTTAATTGAACATTATAGTTTTATTGTAAACTGTATTTGTGTATCAACTATAGGGAGGATAGAACAAAGTTCTTTAGTGCAATAGCAGCCTCTTTGCTCGATCAAAGGCTCGTATCAATTACACGCTGTGTTTGACTTAAGCAACGAACAGAATGCAATAATAGTAATTTCTTGCCTACGCATCGAGGCAATATGTTCAGTGTTAGCGCATCTGCAATTAATCTTTCATTTACTTTTAGTTTTGTCTAAGATTGACGTTAATTTCGATTCTTCTTCCATTTTACGACTTATCTCAAGTTTCTCTTCATGAATTAATTTCAAATAATTCAGATTCCGGCAAATAAACGTGACTTAGGCTAATTCATCACACGGTCATGAGCTAATTTAACTCAGAAATAGAGTTGAGCCCTTGAATTTATTCATGAGCAGGACCTTTCTGTTCTTGAACAGTTATATTTTTGTTTGCAAAAAGTGCAAACAGTGTTCTTGAACAGTGCAAATCCCTCGCAGGAGAAAAGTGCTTAGATATCGTCAGACGATTTTGCATCGGCAGTTGTCGAGATTATTGGAGTATTCCTGATATAATAGTTCAAGGTAAAATGGTATCTAAACACAAGAGTATTAGATTAGATCAGAATAATTGCCACAATTGGTGTCTTGCTTTGTAAAAGACCTGCATAACTGTGCTGCTGTGCCCTACGCTTCTAAATATCAATAAAATGCTGACAATTCATAACGCAGAACTCAGGGAAATTTTTAACATGCAGAGGACCTGTGCGACTCACATCAACGGAGAGGAAGTTGTTGTGGAAGACCTGCTGCGTGCGGACCTTGCCCGGCGTGTACCTGTAGATCTCGTTGATGCCCTGGTACCACTTGATGGAGTAAAGAGTTTCGCTGCCCAGGCTGAACTGACACTCCAGGTCCCCCGACCCCCCCACCGCCAGCCACGGCGGGGCCACCACGCGCGTCACGTTCAGCGCCCAGCAAAATTCCACTGAGGAAATATAATAATTAAAATAAAATATGAAGGAATATAGAAATAACTATTATTGAAATGACATGAGGAAACATATTGATTAAAATAAAATATGGAGGAATATTAAAAAATAACTATCATTGGAAGTACAACATTACATAAAAGAAGAATATTCATTGAAATAATCAACAGTTCACGCACGAATAAAATTCATCAAAATTATTTTGACTGCAACGAAGATAATTTTTATCCACCCAACTGGAAAATATTATTTATTATGCAATGGACAACAGGAAAATATGATTTATTATATAAAAATCTTCAGAAAAGTATTCATCATATTCTGGAGTCAACCTTTCTCGGTTGACCGCAGATAAGGCGCAGATAAGGATCGCCTGGCTTATCATATAGGCAGGCGAGGCGTTGTAAACTTGGAGTGATATATGAGGTTGGAGTGATATACGAGGTTCGGATCGCTATAGGTTCAAGACTCGGTCTCTCTCTACGTACAGTTTCTTGTTCAGGAGTCAACTTCATTTAAATGCTATCAAACTTCAAAATGAAATATGAGGAATGATCGCTTCAGTGAGACTTTATAGTCTCGCACGACGGTGACTAATTAGAGAGTGAATTGTGAGGGACTTGTGAGATATTTTCAGGCCCAATAATATCGTGTACGTTTTTATAATTTTTGGAACAAATTTCCAGAGTTTTACAATCAGAATCATCATCAACTCTCAATTGGTTGAAAATTTGTGATGAATTATAAGTTACAACCAATTAGTGTAGTTCATGACGATCGAGGGCGCTTCGTAACGAAATGGTGTCAAGTTGAACATAATTATAAATTTTTTCGTGTTCTTACCATTAACGCTGAGTGCTACAATTTTTAGGATGTGTATGGGAAAGTTTATGTCATAATTTACGTTCATCAGCAAAATATTGCAGCAGTACATCAACTTCTCAGATGCTCGTTCATTGGGCATCGCGACGACGCATAAATATCTATAGTGGGAATATGTAATCATGAAACTGTCGTATATATTTTCAATTAATGACCCAAAATTATTACCGATTTATTAGCATAACAAATTTGGGGCGACTTCCCGATGCATCTTGGTAGCGAATCTGTACTAAAGGCTGCGTTTGTGCAGAGCGACAAGTGCAAAATTCGCTAATGCTTCCGCAAGGAAACTGTTTGCGGACGGCCGATGTGAACCTTTCCCACAGCAAATCTAGAGGCTCTCTATTTATTGGCCTAATACTGCTGACTGCAGACATAAACAAGCGTCTAAGTGGAGATCTCGCCCTAGGAAAGGACCGAGGAGAAGCAGGAGGCAGAGGCAGGAGAGAGGGTGAGGCAGGGTTATGGCTGCCTCTCTTTAGGGGCCGACGTGACTTGCTTGGAAGGTGCGCTCAAGTCTGCTCATCCGGCGCACTGCAACTTCATATGCGCGAACATCAAAAACTAGCGCACGCTGCCATTTTGATGTAAACACAGCCGCCCAGTGTCTGATAAATCCATGCCTCATCAGACCTCCGTGCCTGATATAACTGTACATCAGCACGTTTGTGTGTTGCATCCAGATTTATCCGCTCTTATGAATAGTAGAAACTTGTCGTACCAGCCCTTGTGTATGACAAAGCCACCTCGTCTGCTCTTGTGAAATGTAAAATCGTGTTTTATCAACCCGCGTGTATCATATGTAGCATTGCTGCATTAACCGTATGCCTTGTGAGTCCGCTTCATCAATTGAATATGCCTAGCGGACCTGCTTCATCAGCTTAATTTGTCTGCTGGATCTGCTTTATCAGCCAACCCAATCTGCATGGTAGGCCTACTTCCTCAGCCTCATCTGCCTAAAGTCCTTCTTCATCTGCCTAAAGTCCTTCTTCATCTGCCTCATCTGCCTGGTAGACCTGCTTCATCAGCCTCATCAGACAAGAAGTCCAGCTTCATCAGCCTCATTTACCTGTTAACTGTAATTCTGAAGACGTCGGAATTCAAAATATTGCGAAAAAGGGCATGGTTTTAATTGATCACAAACCGATTTTCCTCTAAAAGAGCACATCCTGGACCGATATCTGGATTTTATACCTTCTATTCAGCTTCTTCTTTGTTCTGCTCTATCTTCACCGTGATTTCCTGGCATATACAAGTAACTATCAACAGTAATTATTCTTCTGCTCGGGCTTCCTTTACATTAATCAATGAGTCTAGCAGTCTGCTGGAACATCGGCCTGTGCGACGACTTCTGGCCTCCCGGAACCAATTTGTCTTTTGTTTTAAATTAAAGTCTTTTCCTGCGCGGTCAGCATTAAGGGATAGGGCCGGGCGCTGAGAGTTCTAGCAGCAGTGCTGGTCACCCCAAACAACTCAAAACACCGCCATAATTCTCCGCTGCTCGCCACAATAATACGGGAACAAATTGATTTTTTATCATTATTTTCTGTTTTAAATATATTAGAAGTCAACTATCATGTTTCACTTAAAAACGGATAAATAAACGTCATGAGCAGGCAGGAATATTTTTTTCAAATGATTGATAGACGTCCCGTCGTAGACTTTTCATGTAGAAAATTTTACTCTATGTAGTCAATATGAAATTGAAAACCAAGGTAAAGAAAATTTCCGCACATTTCTCGATTCTGATGCTGAGAGGACAATACCATAAAACTAAGACTACCTGCACTGTATCAGCAGGTATCTTTGTGTAAGTTTCATATTTATGCTCACGAAGTTACAAAAGCTCTCTTTGAGCCTATTTATAACAAGTTTTTAAACGCGAATTTCTATGTTTTTGTTCAGATTCACTTAAAACAGGCTTAATTTTTTCATGTTAGGATTACTGCAAAGTTTTGAACAAGCTCAAACATTTTGTTTCCTGTTCCAGCTTGACTCTGGGTTCTAACATATTTTTTCATTCAAAAGAAATATAAATCTCAATTATTTGTTGATGAATGGCTTAAAAATAAGTTTGGATTTCTCTCTGAATATTTAATATGCTCAGATTTGAATGTCAGAATTTGGCTTATTCGCTGATCGCCGCGAGGAGTGCAGGCTGAGCCAGTGAGAGATCAAAGCGCATATCCGATGAGGCGCCCGATCTGCTCAACGCCGCTTCTTTATTATTAACTTGAACGAATTTATCATGTTCGAATGAAAACTAACAGAATATAAAGCAAAAAGAGGCGAGTTAACATTTGGGATTAAATCCATGAAAATTTCATCCATACTGACAATTTTATTTTTTGTTTGATTCTTGTGATATTTTTTTTCTATTTTTCCTCTCAAGGTTTCCATTAGTGAAAAATAAGTATTTGGGTCATAAGTATAAGAAAATTATTGCTTATTCGAAATTTAAAATTCAATGCAAAGATTGTAATAAAAAATTAATATGAAGTAAAGACCGTACCATGCCTCTATAAGACTATACTACATTTGGAAATTTTTCGCAGAAAAAAACGCAGTTTCTGGAGCAGTCACAGGAGGTAGTCGGTCGTCGGAGGGAGAGTTTGCTTGAAGTGTTTAACTAAGATCGGACGACAAGCCCTCGTGCCCAGCGTCATGGAACCGTAAAGGTGCAGCAGCAAACATGGGCTCGCGATCAGTGAATGAAGGAACCATACACGAACAACGCGGTGGGGGCGTGAACTTTTATTTCACGGTGTCTACGACGTAGAACTCAGTCCTCCATAAAATCCTTTCTTCAATGTGGTGCATACAGGATTAGAACATGCCGTGACTTTTGATCTGGCAGTTGGTTTTAGAAGATAATTTAAATCATTTATCAAAATCATTTGAATGATTTAGTCCTCGATTGAAGTAAAAAAATTCTGTTAGCATATAAATAAAAGAATTATTGTGATTAAATCGAATTCGGATTATATTATTTTGCATGTAACGCATGCATGTATGACTTCAAGTACTTCAGAATATGATTGTTTAATGGTTTTCCTTATAATGTTGGCGAATCTTGCGGCAACCAAACTGAGAAGCTAAATTCTTAAGTTGCTTCGTCTTTAAAAAAGTCATTGCAAAACTCCGGCGAGTACGACATAAACTTGATTGGATTCGTTATCTTCCACGCCAGAATTATTTGTTTTTATCGCCATAAATTTTGGCATCACTAAGCTAATGCGAGACTCTTATCGTTATTCTGTAAAAAAATCTCTTATCCCTTAAGTTATAAGATCAGTCATCGATTCAGTCCCTTCAAGCACCCGCTACCATGAATGTTGGTTCGCATGTACTCGTAAATATCGCTAAAATATGGTTCATGCAAGCGTTTTGTAATCTTCAATATGTATCGGTATTAATTGAAATTCTAAAGTTTACTGTCAATAAATTGGTGTTAGCTTGTGAAATAAACGAATTTTTCACTCCGAAACGAGTATCAGAGAACATGATGGCAAATTTTTTGGAGGCGCGAAAATGGGGATCGGTAATGACACTTTCCAGCAATTGTGCGTGAAGATTTTCTTCTTCAATTATTGAGTTTTTGCACCCCTACCCCCCTGTTGCTGATGACAAAGTTGTAGTGCTTGGCTGTAGCGTCTTAGGAACCACAGCGAGACATGTAATATGCCAGAGACAGCGAAAGGAAAAGCTATCTGTGAAGGATCGTCTGGTGAATGGAATATGATTTTCGTAATTAGTCTTCACGAAATGGCAAGTCATGACCTGTTCTGAATTGCCTTTAATGTCGCAACTTCAATTTGGACTCAACGTTTTTCCTGGACGAGATAAGTGTGCAGCAAAAGTGCTGCAGTTGAGTGTTTCACGAGACTCCTTGACATCAGGTGACGTCAGGTGACCACGAAGAGGAAGATCGGTCTTGTTATTGTTGATTATTCTTGAAGTTTCTCCTCTTAATTTATCTTTGGGTTCCTTTACGTCCCATTGTAATGGGATGTAAAGTAATACAATTAAAACGGGATTACTTTCAACGACCTGCTTAGAACTTGTCACTTCAATTTAATTTGTACATGTGTATCTAACATCGGCAACTTGCCTCAGTCCCCTCGCAATAATGAAATGTTATTTCAAGGTTTTTTTTTATACTT